TAAAAGCCGTCCGGTTTCGCCGGCCGGACGGTTTTATTTTTATTTTTTTTTATTTTTTTATTTTTTGGAAAAAAATGTCAGGGGAAAAATTGTCCAAGAGGGGCGGTAAGTAGTAATAGGGGGGGCGGTGAATAGCAATTGAGTAAAATAAAGTGATTGGTGAAATGTGATTGAAAATTATTTGATTTTTTTATATTTAAGCACACCCTCAACCATTCAATCAAACCCTTAGAAATGGTATATGGTGAAACAAATCGTTTCAACTTTCTGCATTTATGTGTGATACAGAACAATCACAACAACATGAATTTGAACTTCAAAAACTGGGGAAGATGTTATATAAATTGTAAGAAAATAATAATGGGTTCGATGTTTAATTTAACAATTTCCGTGGGGTTGATTCATGATTCAACATAAAATATTATCAACTAAATAATTATATAAATAAGTTTAAAAATTACTATATTTTATTTTACTTTTTCGGAAAATCATTTTAGCAAGGTATAATAGGAACTAAATAACTAACCAAACACCAAATTAAAGTACGAACAAGTATAAGAAGAGTACAAATCATCTTTGTACCTTGTACCTTTGTATTGTAATGAATTGTTATGATTAAATATAACCAGTATCCAAGGATTAATTAAGAGATTGACTCATACAAAGTCTCACTGAACAAGACTAGAAGTACCCAACTTATATCAAACAAACTCCCACCACGGTAAGAAGATAGTTTACCAATAATGTCAATGAAACATAAATAGCCCAAGAAAAACGAAAATAACTAAAAATGTGGAGACGACCAAATCTTTTGATCTTCATCTCACTTTCCAGCTTCCTTTCATATGCCTACTCAATCTATACCTCATTGCCTTTTCCCCAAAACTAAAAAATTATATACATCTTCAAATCATAGTATACGTACGGACTCCTCCAACTTTTCAGACACTAAAAACAGTGACAAATATATATAAATATTTAGGCCAGAGTTGAAACACAATTCATCACCTTCTTGTTTTGGGTTCGGACGAGAGATTTGTAGTGCCACCAAGTGCTGCAGCTGCAGACTCGACATGCGTGAGGAGATAATCGTAAATCTTCTTCCTAATCCGGTCAATTGTCTCTGAACAAATTCCCTCTTCATCATCCTTAGCACCCCCAATCTTGTCCAGCCAGTCATTCACGCTCTTGAGCTGACTCAGCATCCCTGCTATTTGGCCATTGTCACACAAAGCTGAGTTGTCCACATCCATGTCCAAGAATCTCTCCACAAACCCCAAAAACCAATCTTGAGATTCCATCCGAAGCATCTCAGAGAGCTCAACGGCCTCGTCAAGCCCATCTCCCTTGGCCCACTCAATCGGTTTACGTTGGCTAACTCCCCAAGTAGAAGAAGCAGCATTTGACACTTGGCGGGTTTTTGTTTGTGCCTTTTGGGTTGTTGTTGTGCTCTTTGTTGGGTTGTCGAGGACTATTACATGTTGATTTCCTCCTGTGATTGGTTTGTGAGTGGGTTTGGGAGTGTATGCAGTGAAAGACGACAAATTGGTGGATAAGGCAGCGTTGACCCATGAAGCGGCTTGTTTGCGGCCGTCTGATGTGACTTTCAGAGTCTCTTCGGATGGGATTTCTTCGTCAGAGATGATTTTCGAGAGGGAATCTGCAATGAGATGGGCTTTGTTTAGATTTTCGTGCAGGGACAAGAATTGCTCCACGGCTGGCTGTGGGTTGTCTTCTTTTGCGGAAGAATTCAGCTCGGAATATGTACTGCAAGTAACACACAAGCAGTAAGAGAAAGAAAACGCTTGATACAACACACCAAGTTCTCAACCAAGGAAAAATCAACAATAAAAGACTCTTTCCTACAAAAATTATAATTAACATTTACCATTTTGACTGATCATGATATGGCTGTTTTAAGTACTGCGTCGGATACTAAATAATGTTCTTGACATTGACAAAAATATTCACATGAAAGTGCTAATGATAAAAGACACTAAATAACACAAATAAACTAAACCTAAATTGGGCACTTTTTTTTTTTTTTTTNCAAAAGAGAATGTACATTATTTACATTGGAAACTACAAAAGAGTAGAATATAAGGAACACTTAAAAATAAGTTTTTAAAAAATAACAATATAATTGACAACAGTTTTCAATTCTACTATTCGGGGAATGATCTTCTTCAATGGTAAAAGCCACCTTGCCGCCCACTGCTACTAAATCACCATCACCCCAGGTTAAACTGGTGCTTGCCGTTGCACCAGGGGCCGTTGCGCTCGGGGCTTTCTTCTTACTTTTCAGTTAACCGAATGACCATTAAGCATATATATGTGCTTTTGAGTGAGCATAATAAGTAAATTGGAATTCTTCCTTAATTATAAATGCAAAATACAGAAAATAAATTTACATCAATTTCCAATACCAATATCATGAATTTTACATCCATGCCCATAGCCATAACTCGATGTAAAATAATATACCTATGAAGCACTACAAAACTAAATATAGCTACATGATTTTGTTTATGACAAGTAACATAACATAGGACTGCATACAACTATGTGAGAGCTCCTCGTTCAAATTTTCCAACGTTTCGGTTTGACATCTTCATTGCATATATAAGATTAAGGAAATAATTATATCTAAATTGACAAATACATATTAAATTATCTACAATCCTAGTTGAAAAATAATAAAATTTTTATAAATTTAATAAATTTATCTATCAAACCTCAATATGAGCTAGAGAAATTATTATAATACGGATGAGCAAGTCATAAATTTGACGGGTGTCATTTTAAACAAATTATATTATAATTTTTAAAGATGTACTTGAAAATTCTAAGATAAAATAATAATAATAATAATTTTATTTTTAAAATTTTCAAGTATGATTTTTTTTATTAACAACGGTTTTTGTACTACTACTAGCTAACAAATCAATTTTGAGTGAGGAAGAACTCTCATGTGACATTGAAAACAAAAGCAAANGGAATGTATTAACTTAATGAAACATAAGAGGTTATTTGTTTTTACTTTTTAGCTAAACCTTAGATTTGTAATTACCATGACATCTAAAGAAAAATTTTGCCAGAAAACACAACTTTATTTTATTTGATTACAAGCATTCAATTCTAGTTAGAGGCGGTTCAGGAGGATCGGAGCTCTTCTCAATCGGTTCTACCTAGATCCAGATAGTGACCCATCACCAATCATGGATCGAAATCGGGAAAGCCATCTAAGATTCCATTTCCATTTAACCCCTTTTATATGTCAAGCATGGGAATGTTAAATCAGTATAATTTGTTTCCAATCTTCATGTCATTTCTAAATTCACCATATTTCCTTAGACAGATAATCTAGCAAGGAAGTAAAAAAACACCAAAGGAGCTGTGAAGTGAGAATAACACAACAAAATGTTAAGTGATTGCATAAAAACATGAGCATTAATTATGCATAAATAGAAAGAATTTGCTATAAAATATTTACATCACGTTTACTAGAATCAAATTACTATTCCCGTCACATCGGGGTGCTTGGCTTAAGAGCTGCCCTCCGTTTCCTTTAGCGCACTTAATTGGATGACTCTTTTAGAAAGAAATGAAATATCTGGCTACAGAATATACAGGGTGTAGCCAGCATGAGAATGAGCAGGAGAGCCGAAAAAAAAATAAAAAAAAAAAATGCCACCATAATAGGTTGCATTATTAGTCCCTGATTCTTTTTTTATTATACTTCCTAGTCATTTTAGTTTCCCACCAGTACCATATGAATTTGTGTGTTGCTCAGACCTTTCATTTTTTAGGCTAAGTGCTCGTGTTGACATATCTTGGTACCAGACGTGATATTGGGAAATGTTTCAGATACATGAGAAACTATCTGGACACTCCACTTATATACTCATCCATGACTCCGGATTTGCAAATTCTATATATTTCAAGTTTTGATACTTTTATTCAACTTATAGCAAGCATATTTTGTTTATAAACACCCATAATAGAAGGTTAAATGTGATATATATAGAATTTGCAAACATATATATATAAAACATTAAAAACATTAAAATTATTTGGTTCAAATGAGAATCCCTTTTAAAATAGGAACACGAGTCCAAATTCTAGTTCTAGTCATCTAAAAGACATAAATGAGCACTCATGGACTTCTAAATCTGCATTAAAATTGTTGGTGAATAATTGAGTATTGACCAATAAAAACATTAAATAGATAATAAAAACTTTAATTTTGAATAATTGTCCGTCTGAGTGAGCACTATTGATACATAATTACATTTCAGTGATCCTTAGTTAGAGGGATGAAGGCATCCATCTCTATAACCAATTTACATCCATTAAATCTGAACCAATGGATGATTGTGATTGATCCCCACATTCTCAGTGTAAGAATAGGTCTCATTGGAACAACTCCCTATGTATATCTAAAATTTATTGGCCAACCTGTGCTTGTGCCCAATTTCTGGATCCTTTTCAGCGTGTCAACATATCCTCAAATTTAGAGACAGAATGCCTTACCCCTAGATATGCACTAGTGTTCAGCAATCATATCCAGCTCCAACCAACATAGTTTCTTTCTTTAACGGCTACAATCATTTATACCAAACTGATTTTACAGGCAACGTTGGGAAAATGGTTTTTGTCTTGAGAAAGAGAGTTTACATAGTTAAATGGCAGGTAAGTAGAACTACTGTTGCCTAATGGTTGTATACAAAATATTCCGCAATAAATTGAAATTATATATATTTACTAACTGACATGTTTCCTATAACTAAATGCCACCAGGCAGGCTCCATTGATCAAACTACAATGCTGATGGTACACACGTACAGAACCCACTAAATGCATGGCCCAGAACAAGTTCAAATTCCATTTTTCAGGGAACTTATAAGTTATAACTGCAAATTGCAAAGATGTTTCCCTAATATAAATCAATAACCATATAACCATTGTACAGATTCAGTCAGCATACAACAAAACAAATTCTCCAAATTCATTTACAAGAAATACCTCAAGCATCTAAGCAGAGTTTCTGAAACCGAAGCTTCTTGCACTGCTTCTATGGCAGCTGTCTGTGCAGCATCTCTGTGCTTCAAGACTTCCTGGTATTTGGGTCAGAAAATTTTCCAAAATGAGAAATCATGCAAGTGCAAGTCCCAAGAAACTCACAAAGTTGTCACCATTTCACATCTCAAATTGTCAAGGCATATTTGAATTCAAGATGTATACAAAAAAAGGTACTTATCAAAAGCAACTCTGAACTTTTCAAGATTACAGATAGATACTGTACGAAAAAAATAAATTGAAAGGTATACCTTCCCAAGTTTAGCAAGAGAAGATGGCAGTGAGGCCCATGAAGCACTTGCATCTGTCAGTCGCCTGTTACTTAAGGAAACCTTGACCAAGTTTCCAGGGATTCCATTATTGGCATTCTCCCCGGAAGACTTATTTCCAATTATCCTTGAAGCTGGTTTATTGACTTCGGGCATATCTCCATTCGTAGAAGCTTTCTTTACAGGTGCATGCACATTACTTACCTCTCTCGTCAATTTCAGAGAAGCAACCTTATTATCTTCTTTCGATGTCGACCTTTCACTTATTGATTTCCTAGGTGCCTGCACATAGAGAAACGAATGAGGAAACACAAAAAAAACACTAACTGATAACTAATCCATCACTCCATTTATGTACATTTAAAAGGAAACCCAAATATACTTAGCTTTGTATCATATTTTCAAATAAACACTTTTAAACTGTTACTTACAGAAGTACTCCGTACTTGGGACCTCAAATCCTTCTTTGCACCCTTCAATCTGGGGCTCTCTCTGCCCTTGGAGTCTATATTCCCTTCCCAACTCTTTCTCAATGCCTTAGGCCCAATTTCGAACCCCTGCACAATATTATTCCTCACCAAATTCCCACCTGGAACCTTCTTCCCAATCACGCTCCCCCCACGAACGGGACTCGCCTTCTCCTTGATCTTCGCCTGCTGCTTAACCCCATTCGCAAACTTCTCAAATGAAGTCGGCAAAGAGTAACAGCTAGTCGGGGATGAGGGTATTGACCTCGAACCTCCTGAGAAGGGCTTCACTTTCCCCACAGGCTCCTTCTTCACGTCCAGCAACAAAGCAGGCTTAGATAGCTGGGACTTTGACCGAGTTAACACGGGAGGACTCTTCTTCTTCTCCGAAATTAACACTTTTTCCTCTTTACTAGAACTTGTACTGGTGCCGTCATCTTTCTTGTGCGCCGACTTATAATTACTGTTACTGCTACTTTTGTTCCCCTGCGATTTGGGATTGGAGGGCGAAGCGTTGCTGAGAAACCCTAGGGAATGAGTCGCGACTATGTCTTCAGGGGTCCCGACGCAGGGGTGGCGGCCGGGAACGGGGCGGACTCCTCGGAGGATGGGAACGGGGGAAGCGGCTTCGAGTCGCTCCACGTGTACGAACTGACCTAACTGGATTTTGTCGCTGAGGATGAGATCGTCGTGCTCGTCCGGCAGGGACACGTAGGTGGCGTGGGAAGAGTCGGAGACCTTGAGGTAAAACCCTTGGTTGGGGAAAAGCTCGCCGCCGGAGGCCAGTGCGGGGACGATGCTGACGACCTGCAAGACGCAGGAGCGGTGCTCCCCGGCGACTTTCACCTCCGTGTTCATGTGCTGCAGTAGCTTTAGCAAAACTCCGGGGACCAAACTCGCCATTTTATGTTTGTTCACCGACGCTTTAGCGAAAAATCCGGTTACGAGGATGAACAGCGCGTCACATCGGAATCAGATGCATTTGTGGGGAAAAAGAAAATGAAAAAGAAAATCCCAAGTCCGATTAGCGGAAATCAGCAGATCCGAAGGTCATTGGTTCAATAATTGAAGACCTTCTTCTTATGATTAATTACAGCTAAAAAGGGCATTGGTGAAAAATTCTGAAAACCCAATAGGGTAGAGAACTGGAAGGATTCGAGTATGGTGATTGGTGA